ACTCTGAATATTGTGGTTGTGGAATTACTGCTAATAAACTATTATTGAAAATTACAGTTATTATCATGTTTCTTCTGTCAAACATGAAGACAAGCTTGCACTAGAATTGCCTCATTAATGCAGTTATTACCTGAGGATAAGAGCAGAGGCAACACATGTATTTGCTTATAGGTCTTCAACCCATGTTGTCAGTGTTTTGCAATTGGTTTTATAGGCTTTGTACTGTAGGAAAGATCACTTATGGTCATAAAGAGAACAATTATGAACCATAATTTCCTTTTGTCACTTCCACACATTTTATGGGAGAGTTAATTTGAAAACTTAGACTTGTTTTGAGCTATTGGTCAGTGATGAAAGTGATTTCCCGGTCATCTGCAGACTCGTGTAGAAAGTTTTGTTTGTTATGTAGCACCACAATCAGCAATATTGAAGCTACATGATGGCGCTCTGTAAATAATCATCCTTGGACCAAACAATCTGGTGTTTGACAACATAATTACACTTGTTCACCATCCCATCTTTGGTCTTGAGAAATAACACAGATTTCCCCTGCATGCCCATATTTGGTCTTGGATAATAATACTGATTTTAACCTGCCCTTCTTTGGTCTTAGATAATAACATTTATTGACTACCCATATGTGCTTTGGGGTAATAACACATATTTCACCTACCAATCTTTGGTCTGGGATAACAACACTGATTTCACCATCCCATCTATGGACTTTGGTATGATAACACTGATTTCATCTGCGGACCTTTGGTCTGGGTTAATAACACTGATTTCACTTGCCCATCTTTAGCCTCAGCAAAATACATTGATTTCATCTGCCCATCTTTAGTCTGGGTTAATAACACTGATTTCACCTGCCCATCTTTAGCCTCAGCAAATAAGACTGATTTCATCTGCCCATCTAAAATCTCAGCAAATAAGACTGATTTAACCTGCCCATCTTTAGTCTCAGTAAATAACACTGATTTCACCTGCCCGTCTTTAGTCTCAGTAAATAACACTGATTTCACCTGCCCATCTTTAGCCTCAGTAAATAACACTGATTTCACCTGCCCATCTTTAGCCTCAGTAAATAACACTGATTTCACCTGCCCATCTTTAGTCTCAGTAAATAACACTGATTTAACCTGCCCATCTTTATCCTCAGTAAATAACACTGATTTCACCTGCCCATCTTTAGTCTCAGTAAATAACACTGATTTCACCTGCCCATCTTTAGTCTCAGTAAATAACACTGATTGCATCTGCCCGTCTTTGTTGTTGGATAATAACACTGATTTTACAGTACAACCAGAAATTATTGAGAATTTAAGATTGTAATTTAAAAAAAAAAAAATTATTGAGAATTTAAGATTGTAATTTAAAAAAAAAAATTTCACTCATTACTCACATATTAAATGTGAATATTAGCAGAAAATAACTCCAGATTCAAAGACAGGTGAACAGTTAGTATTTTGTCAAGTCACCATGGGCAGCAATGCAGGCTTCAATGCGGTGGGGCATACTACAGATCAAAGAAGTTAGAAAGTCGTGGTCCATGCTGTCCCAATATCAGACCACCTCTTCTTTCATTTCAGCAATATTTGTCAGATTTTTCTTATTGACACTTTCCTTCATATGTCCCCAAACATTTTCCATTGGATTTAGGTCAGGGCTATAGCTTGGCCAATCTAATAATGTCATATTTTGGGTCCGAAACCAGGCCTGTGAATGCTTTGAACGATGTTTTGGGTTGTTGTCCTGCTGGAAAATCCAAAACTTTCCATAAAACACGTGAGCAGATGGAAGTAAATGTCCCTCGAGAATATCTGTGTACCGCTCACTGTTCATATTCCCTTCAAATACACAGAGGGGCGTTGTCCCTAACAGATACACCACCCCACACATTAAATTTTGGACAGTACTTTTGGCGCTGATACAAAGGTTTTTCAGTTTGTTTGGTCCAGAATTTCAGTGTATCAGGAAACAGCCACACAGAACTTTCATCTGAGAAAATCACATTGTCCCAGTTAAAATTTCTATGCTGTAAGCACCAGTTCAACCTTCGCTCCTTTTGTTCAGGTTTCATGATCGGTGATGGAATTCCTCGACTTTTCTGCCAACCCATTGCATGCAGCTCAGTTCTAATTGTCTCCTTACAGACAGCCACAGTTCCTCTATCAATCATATCCAGACTTAAGTTTTCTAAACTCCTTCGTTTGTTTTTAGAAACAAGAATACCAAGCCGCCTCCTGTCACCGACAGTCAATTTTCTGGGCCTACCTGCGCCTCCATGGTGCTCAATGCCATATCCATTTGCAATATTTTTCAAAACACGATAAACAGTGGACCAAGGGATGCCTGTTCTACTTGAAATCACTTGAGCTGATCTGATGTCCTTGTTAAAATACTCTAAAATCAACTTCCTCTTCTCTAAATCATCCATACTGAGGATCACTGAAATTGTCGTCTGCTAGCAAGTAAACAAAGGGGGATAACTCTTCACAAACTAATGAAAAAGGATTAAGGGAGTTGTCTCTCTTGAATGTAACCAGGCACTTGATAGCTGGTCAAGGTTGTTTATACTAGAAATCCAATTAAACATATTCCTAAAATTCTCAATAATTTCTGGTCATACTATATCTGCCCATTTTTAACCTCAGCAAATAACATGATTTCATCTGCCTATCTTCATTGCTGGATAGTAACACAACTGCTGTCATGAGCTCATCTTCAGCAGGTTTTTCCACATCATGAGATTTTTCAGACCAATATTGGTATCCTTCAGGATTATGTGTATCATATAACACATTTTTCTTATTTATACACAGAATAATGTTATGTATTTACAATAAGCAGCCAGACAAATTGTAAAAGCCCGCTGAACTAGACCTCCTCCTTTGTTCCATCAATAACCACTACCACCACTTATTCCACTCTCTTCAGCACACCCAACCTTTCCCCATCACTTACCAAAGTTTTGGAGCCTCACAAAGAACAGGGAAGACAGAGAACAGAGGCAGAATTCAAAGAAATTCTTGATGATGGTGATAAACTCTAACTGACAGTCCAGCGAATGCAGTCTGCTTTCTTCCCTTGTAACGAGTTGTTTTCTTAGCCCCAACCATGATTCCTCCTCCTTATCTGGCATTCTTGTCACTGGTACCACCACACCACCTCGCCTATTACTGAAGCCGTTTTACTTATATCTGTCATTCCGTCTCCACCATATCACAACCTCACCAAATTACTCTTTCAATATTGGCTAGTTATGCCTGCTCAATCCAACTTGAAAGCTAATTTGGCTTGTTTAAGGTAGATTAAAATCTCACATAAAATTTTCCAGTGACTCTCAGCTGTTTTTGTTCCCAGGTTATAGGCGTAAATGTGTTCCCCTACTTTTGTAAGTGACCTCTCAGAGGTCATTGCGTGATAGCTCTTGCCCATTTTTCATCAGTAGAAATAACGCCCAAAAAGCATCTGATTACCATTATATTTCATTTCAGTCTCAATAAATGTCATGTTATTGAAAACTACAATTATGTGAACGAGATCCTTTATTCATAACATGATTTAGTAGAATCATGTGCATATTTTCTTGTGAGATGTACTGGTTGTGTAAAAGATTGCATAATCATAATTATCATAAATTATGTGATTATGTTCTCTATATTTTAACAATTGGAAGATTTTGATTTTCACAATCATCCTAAATGGTATGGAATATTTCCGACATATTGTGTTATACGGTGACCTTATTTTGAAGCCTCATTCTTGGGAAATGGCCTGCAGTATCTCCCCTGCCCCGACAATAGATTGTTATAAAACAGGAGGTGCCTTTCCTTTACACAACTTGTATTACAAAAGCAAATGTGCAACACTCAGAAAAAGCCCTCCAGACAACCAACTCACAACAAAGTGGATTCCAAATAAACGCTTATTCCTCTATTTCACTGAGAAAATAAATGTGCAGCCAATGTTTTATACTTAGAAATATCACCATCTGCTGTCGGGGCCAGAGAGAGACATTGTAACAGGGTTGGAATCAAGTCTATAATATTTAAAACTCACAAAGAATGGAAAACATTCTGAATTAGCATTTTCACTTAGTGTAGAGCTTTTCCTTAGATATTTACTTTCTTATTTCACATCTCTACTTCTATGTGTGCAGTATCAGATCCTGTATATCTCAAACTGTAGTTGAAGATACCCATGTGTGTAGTGAGAAATATTTTTTCTCTGTTTTTGGAGCATATTAATTTTAGAAACTGGAAGGTCAGCATTTTGATATACATGGTTGTGTATATTGGGATAACATAATCTTGATGGAGTCTATGGACATGACAAGTTGGTAAGGGAAACTATATATGGGGGTCACAGCTGAAAATATTCATCCATACCAAACTGAATTTGTGACCAAAACACATGTCCTCCATTTTTGGATGTGTTAGTGAATGTGGTTTTATGTTGTACCAATATCATTGTTCTGGAATATCAGACACATTGTACCCAAGTCGGGACTTGAACATGGGTGAGCAAAAACTTAATCCACTACGCTACCCCAACACCCTTTTGATGAAATACAGAATGGCCATATAAAATATTTCTTAAAGTGAAACAATTATTGCTTATCAAAACTAGTGTCCTTGGTTTTTCTCTTCTGGAATTAGATTGGTTAGTCTGTAATTTTTCATTGGTATAACTCTCATTGAATTCATGGCAATAGATCAGTCAAACGATAATAGATTCTTGTGCAGATGGACCAGGAATTTGAAGTACATTCCAGACATCACCCATACAGATATATTTATCCACTATCAACAATTTGACCTACCTTTAGGACAAGGTTAGTACGCTGGGAACTATATATTACTAGGAATCCCCATGAAATCTACCAGCTATTCACCATGCTTCTGTCATGACTGTCCATGTTAAGATGGTCACAGTTAGCTATATATCCAATGAGAGTGGCTTTGCCTTAGACTTTTCATGATGTTGTTCTACTTCAGGGGAAGGTCGAGGCAGAGCTGCATCTGCTGTCTGTAGAGGAGGCCGAGAAACACCCTGCAGGACTGGGGCGGAATGAGCCAGACCCACTGGAAAAACCGAAGTAAGATTAACTGATATCAAACAACTGTTATTTCATCTGATGATATAGATTCTAAAATTACACTTCTTTTGACGATTTCGGGATACTTGACACCCGACCCTACCCTTTCTCTTAACAACACGACACCCTCTCCCTATATCCTCCTCCTCTGTAGAAATGATGCTCTGCCCTACTCTTCATCTTGACAACACGACACCCTCTACCTATATTCTCCTCCCTGGCATCCCCATGATGACCAGATACATTGCCCTAGCTGACTTCTTGAAGACCTGGCACCATGCCCTGTCATCCCCATGATGACCAGATACATTGCCCTAGCTGACTTCTTGAAGACCTGGCACCATGCCCTGGCATCCCCATGATGACCAGATACATTGCCCTAGCTGACTTCTTGAAAACCTGGCACCCTGCCCTAGCCTAAGACTTGATACTCTTCTATGACCTTCACAAAGCCCTTACAGCCTGTCTCGGCCCTCTGAAGACCAGACACCCTGCCCTACTCTTCAAGAAAATGTCTCATCATGCCCTAGACTTCTTTAAGATCTAAAATCCAATCCTCATCTTGAAGACCCCTGCCCTCCTTTTATTTCTTAACGAAGACACCCCACCCTACTTTCTTTCTTCATGAACACACCCTGCCTCTTTTTATTTCTTCATGAAGACACCCTGCCATACTTTTCTTTCTTCATGAAGACACCCTTTTTTTTCTTTTTACTGAAAATTTAAACAATTTATTACGATCTGTTGCTTATTCCTTTAATACATAAAGCATACATCTGAAAACCACTTTTGAGTTTTGTATGTCCATATCAGAGAAACATTCAAACTCTAGCCATCTGAAAGTATATCATACCAATTAAATACTAGACATCTCAAATTCCACCTTACCTGTCAAACACTAGCAATCTGAAATCATTTTTATCATTCAACAATTAGCCATCAGAATATTGGTTTTACCATTCAACCACTAGCCATCTCAAAATTATCATAAAGTCAAATACTTAACATCAGGAAATTCAACGTACCATTCAACCACAAGTCATTTGAAAATCAGTTATACCATTCAAATATCTTCTAGCCAGCTGTAAATAAGTTATGCCATATAGATACCTACTAGCCATATGAAAATCAGTTGTGTCTATATAATACCTACTATTCATCTGAAAATCAGTATACTAGCCAAACACAAGCATCTAAAATCAAATCATACACAGCCTTCAGAACATCCATCATGCCATTCAAACTCTGAAAACCTGTCCACTAAATGAACACTGAACCATGTGAAAATCTGTCATCCTTTCGCTGATGGTCCGCTGATTATTGCATTGATTCTCATACTTGTTGAAGCTGAAATAAATCAAGTACTTTGAAAGATAAAAATGTACCAGGTACTAGTTTGAACCATGTTTATTACAATATTTCCAATATTTAGAATGTATAGGTATCAGTTACTTACCTCAAGTTTCAAGCCGTGTGACCTTCCAATGTAAAGATTATAGGATGATCCAGTAACTTCAACATATTAAACTGGGTAGGTAGTATGTACTCAGCAACATGACTAAGATAAACTAATGAAAAACACTCATATTCACAGAAATATATCTGGTTAAGTTCAAATCTCAGTGCAGAAAATGTTGAAATAGTAAGTTTACCACTGCTGTGAATGTTATATAGGTTATATTGTGTCTGAACACTACAAGTGTTTGTAATCAATGGATCCTTAACAAAATCTACATGCTAACAATTATTTACAGCTTCAAGTTGTTTAAGAACGACACTATAAGCAGAAACTCAAGTGCCCCAAACATCGTCCTTCTTGCTTCATTTCTTCCACTACACAACACATCATTATGTAATTCCTTAATTTAGAAGAAATAATTAATTTTATAAAATAACCTGAAATTAAATATCCAAAATCTCCATATTTGTAATATTCGCAAAAAGAGTCATGAAACACCAGGTCAGTACTAATATTCAGCAGGTTTATGCTGTGACCAAATTAGTTTGTATTTTACACTGGATTGTCCTGTTTTGTTTTTCACTTTAAGAAAGCTAGTGCAGTGAAATGTGAGAATGTGTAAACTGCTATAAAGTAATTTGACTAACAGTTTGTTTGACATATCGTTGACAGCATTCTGTTGAGACAGATATGAACACAATCAATCACTTAACCTGTATCCTGAATCTCAGGTGTAACAAATGAGGGAACAGTTTGTTTTAAACCTTTTCTTCATTTATTTTTGCCAAGCTAGTATGTAATGTGGACAGATGTGGTCTCGCTTGTCGGAGAGTTGAAGTGTATCTGTCCTGTACCTAGTTCACTTATGTTACCTTGCATAACCATCCACAGAAGTTGTTTTCATTAAGGAAACGGGGAACCGTCTTGTGACAAGATTTGACAAATCATTTTCAGTTGAATGGGTGGGACAGACTTCATAATAGGGCTAAAAACACAGATTTTACAGGAAATTGCAATCTTGATTAATGAGGCAAAGGTGAAAGGTCAGGGTTGGAGGAAATCCCAAGATCACAATCATCGCAGCATTTCTATTATTCCCCATTGGCTGGATTAGCGTCAGGGAGAGAGGAAAGGAGGCTGCATTATGGGATCAACTAATCCAGCGTATCCATCAATGGTCACGATAAACACAATTGTTTTATTTCGTTTTATTTGTTTACAATGGAAACCATGGTAACTTTAATGAGGGTGGATTTGATAATGGTGAGATTGTGATTTCATTGTGAGTAGGAGGAGTTCAGAGAGATATACTATATGGCATGTAGGTCTGGAAACAAGGTCGCTTTTATCTTATCTTACGTCTCCTTCATCATTGCCTTTAACTTCACAACAAGAACCAAAACCTCTCCCTTGTCAGTTCTCTCACACTAGTCTTTTCACAATTTGGGCAAATAATGCTTGTTTTTGGTGGGGACATAGGGAGGATTATTTAGATGAGTGATGGGTTTTTTCATGAATTGGTAGGATTAGCTGAACAGTGCAGTCTGTACCTGATCTGTGACTTGCTGGGACATACTGAGCAGGAATAGGGAGTTGGAGGGTTGAACCAACTTAGTCCACACCAACATACCAGTCATAGGCTAGCTGGAGTTTGATTGTCGAGTCCATAAATATATATATATATGAATGTATCATTTGCATGTTAAGACCCACTGAAATAATTGTTTATGAATCATTGCTTACTTCAACTCTCGCATTTAGAGTGGGATGCTCAGTCATAATTTTTTTTAGAAAGGTGTCTAGACAATTATGATATGATTATAACAATTTCAGTTAAAATTGGTTTTGCTTATTTTCCTAGTTTTCCAAAAGAGAAAACATTGATCTAAACATGCATCTTGCTTAACATACAAGATGTGCTTCATTAGATTCAGTACAGGATAGTTAAGTACCAGAAATAAATTGGGTACCCAAATATGCAGTAAAATTTTATTAGTACTGCATCTCCTAAGCTGTTTGTTTTACTTAGTGATTTACTAAGCATAATTTTGTTCCTTTTCTGCGGGTCAATTGAGACAATTCAAGTTTTTAAAGAGTGAAAAAACACTTAAAGCCACATAATGACGAGAGGAATGATGGAACGGCCATGGTTTAGGAGGCCTGAGGGTAATGAAATGCATGTCACAAGCCAAAACACATGTTGAAAACATTCCCCTCACCTGTGTAAACATTTTCTGTTGGAAGATAGAACTCCCAGAGGATAATGCTCCAATCATATTTCAATATCACTGGTAGATAGAGATTTGGAGCCAACTAATATTGCCATATTATACATGAGAACCTTTTAACTATGGCATCTTTATTAATGCTTTGTTGCTGTAGCCAATTATTTTATTTTCATTGCAGTGTATTTGATATTTAAAAAAAGATCACTTCCACAGTTCTTTCAAAACATTTTTATTTATGCTTTTGGTTCACACTGTTTCGAAAATATAATTTGTATGTACGAACATGGTTTGTATTTCTTGACACGCTTGAGTCATATTTTTGATGTTTCAAATGTGAATGGCATATCTGGCATAATAGCCTAAACATCCCCTGCTCTGGCAATATCAGTGATATCATATGTTAGACAGGAATGACCAGAGTGATCAAATATTAGTTTGCCAAAATGTTTTAATGGTAAGTTTCAATATTACTGATACCATTATAAACCATTACCAGCCATTGCTGCTGCACCAAGCATGTACACTGTGTGCTAGTACTGTGCAGTGGGGTGTGGCATGCATCATACAGATTGGTTTCATATTGTAATCAGACTGTTTAACGATAAGACTCTGACCCTGAGGTGACCCTCCAAACTGTAGATGTCACTTGTCCTCTCTGAAAACCAAATCCTATGTAGAGAATACCAGGAATTACTGTGCTTACTGTGCTCATCAGCACAAAGTTTTTAAATGTTTCTAAATGCAAACTTATATTAAAGTAAATTCTAATAGATAAGTACATCAGTTACAACTTCACAAACTGGTTATTCATTCATTAACCAAAGTTTTTTATTGACAACAATACCTAAAAAAGTTGAGCATAATAATGCAATACCAGCCCCACCCATTGTCCTCTGGTCATGAATCCTTAATCTATAAATGGGCATGGCCAAATATTTTTTTTGGTTTTTAGAAACATATATGGTAAAAAATTTGCCTAGTTAACCAATTAAATGCTGAGAATCAATGGCAGTTACATGGATATGGAGATGATGAAAGTCACCTTTGATGGATTCAAATTTTGGCAGTTCACTTCAACTTCTTCCAACATAAGTTGACAGCATGAATATTTCTTCATTTGATTCTTAATTATGTACTGATAAACTGCCTAAGGTTAATTCTAAACAAAGTCTACATATATTTGAATGAAAACAGGTTTTTCAATTGTTGACCTCAATTGACTGTTTCTTCTTCCAGCCGGCCTGACTCCTCGTTCATTTGGTTCCTCAATCCGCTCAAGTCCATCCGTTACATTTTGTGGCACAACTACAAGTGGGTGATCTTGAAGGTGTTCATCGTTCTCCTTCTGTCAGCCATACTGGTCCTCTTCTTCTACTCCATGCCTGGTTACACAGTGAAGAAGATGTTTGGAGCTTGATGGCTGGTCACTGGGCAACGATCGGTGTGATTGACTGAATGCTACTGGAGTCCAGGAGGTTTGAGGTAGCCTTCAGTCAATCAATACTGGATTGTGACTGGAAGACTGGTGCCAGTGACCTTTCATTGGATGGATCTCAGGCTTTTGAATTTAATCTGGATCAATTAAATCAGTGAGCAATGTATGAGACTGGTTGATTTGAAGAGAAAGCTGTCTGTGATTGGTTTAATACGACTGTGATTGTAAGCATTTTCAACCACTGCATCTGTTTATGCTTTGGCAATTTTACCACAATCAGTATGGTATTGACAGATGCATTGGAACTGTGACTGGTTGAAATAATGAAAACTGGTATCTGATTGGCTGCATTGGTGCATAAAGTGTTGTCATGACAATAAGAATGATGTTCCTGAATAGGTGGAACTGTTTAAATGTAGTAGTTGTGAGCTTGGTTCACATCACATTATCTACACAATTTTATTCTGTTTCAACGAGGCAACGACTCACAAGTAGTCTGTAGGTACTTTCAAACCAGTAGTCATGTTCAAGCCAACATCAGAAATGTCACAGCAGTAGGACATAGAATTTTCACTTTCATTTTTGTCAGTTAATTGATGAAATGTACTTAAACAAGGAAGGAGTTTTTAAATATAATAGTAGATAGGCTGTTATGAAGTAATATTCTGAGATGTGAACTAACCTTGTGACCTAGCTCCTTGTCTACAGCAGCATGACTGGCCACCTCCATTAACTATACAATGTTGGGAACACCACCCAAGTCTGTGCAATAACATCTTGATATTGTTGTATGTCTCCTTGCCACCTGTATCTTCTGTGCATGACAAAATGTCATATCATGTAGAAAGATTAGCACTGTGTACGGTTTGCAGGAGTTGAGATAGTTGTCACACTCAATCAAGGATTAGACAATGTTTATTGACAATTTGTGCCAAATGTGTTCCTCTGTATGCCTTGTACATGAATGTATCAGTACTCAAGCAAGACAGTTCCATTATTACACTAATTGGTAAGTTAATTTATTCATTTAATTTTATTCATGATTTATTGTGCGATATATTCACATCAAGTTGTTTCAATCAAACTGTCCCATGTTACTTGAAAAAGTAAATTGGAATTTATTGATTATTCAAAAAGTGATTATCATCCCAATAATGCATCATGTCGCCATCTATTTAAGGCATTGTTGAGAAATGTTTTTCTTTCAAATCATTTTACCCTTGATTGAGTGTGCACAGATACAAAACTTGTTCACAGAGGATACAGATTGTTGTTTTACTTATATAGATCCACGTGATTTAGACATTGCACAGGAGAACTTGTCCAAGCATTCCCACTCTATATTGTATAAATGTACAAAGCATGTAGTCAGGTAGTTGTTTTGTCCCCATTCTCAATGTCTGCATCAGGGCACAAATACTTAGTATCTACATCCCCGTACAGTGTTCATACTGATGACAAGTACTGTCCCCAGAACCTGTTGATCGGAGTGCTCCAGGCTTGGTACTTTGTTAATGTTATACTCTTACTGTAAAAATATATTTCCATGACAACCTGTTTATTCAATGTTGCTGTACATTCAGTCTGTAATATTTCTAAGGCCACAATGTTTTGCCAAAGATCTTTGTACAGGATGAAGCAATGCGTACAGTCTGTACTCGTTAAGTAGGTTCAGCGTCATTAAAACACCTGGACTACTGAATACTTGGGTCCAGGTCAAGTCCCCTTTCATTTATCAGGTGTCCCAGCTGAACAAGACAAGGCAGGCAGGTAGGTAGGTAAGGTTTTAGGGCGACCTTGGGCCTCAAAAGGCCTATATGTGCCCAATCAAGACAAGGCAGTTTGCTTTGCAGAGTTACATCCCTTTGTTGTATCAGAATACTGTGGTCATTAAGAATCCTAGATTTGTCCCTGTTATGAATCTTGGTTTGTAACCACCCATGTGGGATTCACCAGTGTGGTAAATGTCTAGACCTCCATCATGTTTGATTCAGCAGACATGCAATAATATAACTATGGTACTGTTCAAAGCTGTGTTAAGCCCAGCCCACTCACCCACTTAAACTTTATTTATTTATTCTTTATCTTCCAATAGATAGATGTTTTGGGTCACCTGAACATAGAGAATTTGTTCATTTAACAAACCTGGAAAATATTTAATCTGCTGACTGCAAGTTCATGTTGAGCATGTTCATCAGAATGTTCTGTTATCAAGCAGGATATTTCTCTGTTCCTTAACTCAACAGGTCTGTGCATCAATAATATGACAATCTGTTGTGGATAGACTGTTGGAATCAATGAAACAGTAGCCCATGTAAGTACATAGTTAGGCTCAGGCCAACTTAAAGAGAATCGACTGTACATGTGAATGTAATGCTTCATCTTGCCCCAAATTTGACACGAAGACCTAAGTCGTTTCTCAGTAATATCCCAAAACTACAAGTCCCATAAAGATGTTTAGTTACACTTTCAGATGTCAGTTATTGGCCATACATTCAAGTACCACTTCAGTGTGGCTGATTGTACTTAGGGGAGGCAAACTGCAGTGCATGATGACTGACAGCTGCTTAATTCACAACATCCAACCCAAGCCGCTACAAATGAATTAGTTCTTGTATATTAGTTACAACACATCATGATGCTGGAATCATCACTGTAGTGAGATGACATATATCTTACAATGTATCAGGTAAGACCTCTTACAAACAGCATCAATCTTTAAAGCTATGAAACTTCTTGTCATTTGTAATAGAAAATACTTTGACATTTCCAGAAAGACATATTATTTGTGTAAATCCAAGCATGTATGAGCATCTTGAAGCCATCTTGGATTCATATGTGACCTGTTCCATTTTAGGGTGAACACATTAGAGGAAACGTTTCCAGAGAGCATGATCAGTTTAATTACCACTGCTATATGTAACTGTTTGGTAATTTGTGTCATGTTTCCTTGTCAACAAGTCAACACCATTCCTTGGACCAAACACTGAAGATGTCCAACTAGAACTACAAGTAACTACAACCAGAAATTAAAACATGCAATTATTTTTAGATATTATGCTGGAAAATGTTTTGCTCCAAGAACTAAAATTACTTCATTTGGACTCAGTTCTTCAGTTGCTGTAATACAGTTCTCCACAGTGTGTGTGTTTTTCTGTCACCTTATGTACAGTATGTCTATGGTTCATGTGAATATGTATACAAAGTGTACTGGCCTAATTGTACCAGTATGGTTGGTGTGTCTGTGTTTGGCTCACAGAATGCTTGCATGGTTCCATATGTTGACAGCTTGAACCTACACATACAGGACGACACCAGAGCTTCAGTGCCTATATTAACTCTTTTCAATGTGTAATGCATCTCAAAGGTCGTTCTAAGGTGTTATGGATTTGAGATAAATTACTACATAATTTTACGTTTTTTCAAATAGTTATCATCAAACCCTGTCTGTATAAAATTACCAGTCAATACTGACACCAAACAAAGGCCAATGCCAGTTTCATTTACTGGTCATTGCACAAAATCCCTGTCACACACATTTAAAACATTTTTTGGTTTGTCCAACTTGTGAAACAATATTTTGTTGTTGACAAGAAGTAATCCCATTTCTTGGATCAGGTCACATAAGGAATGCATGTAGTGAGAACCATTACCTAGTCCATCACATGCTTTACTGTCATGCTTTTGTAAGATGCCTTCACCACTTGTAGACAAGCTGCCTTCACGTAAGGATGTTTATATACATACTCTCTGTAGATATGTAGAAATGATGTGATTGGTAGATTATTCACACCACATTGTTACATGACCTGTTGAGTTTGAATCCTGTTACTTGTTAACAGTTTTATCATTTGAGTTTCCTAATGAGCATATTCAGTCTAGAAACATCAACTATCCTTCTGGTTGACATGGATTATATTACAAATGTTAATTACCAACGTATCAATGAATTCTCTGTGTGGAAGCATAGTGGAATGGTCACATTGCAAAATACCTTCTACACCTGTTTTCATTGGATACTAACTACCATTCTTGATATTCATCCAAAGTGGTATTTACTCATCCAAATAAAATGTCTGCATTAGGCCATGTTTATTGTTTCAAATGAATTATGTTTTACATTTATCTGCATCAGGGACATTTAAGGACGTAAAATTCTATGGGTTTTGCTGTAGCTGCTTTTGAGGTTGTAAAATGTGTTGAACCAGATTCTGCACAGTGAGAATGCAGTAAAATCAATTTAATACAGTTCAGAAGGACATATAGGTGATCTCATTTCAGGTCACAGGATCCTGCTCCACCTTTAGTTTCTAGTAAGAGAAAACAGAAGTCTTCTAGACTGAATGTGGAATTTTCATGCTGTTTTAAATATGTATTTTAAGGTTACAGTTTAAATGAGACGTTTAAATGATTGTTGTTTTCCTTGCTTTCCAAAGCATGTTATACAGACAATATCTCCAGGTTTGTGTGTACATTTCTCTGCTATAGATTAGTAGAGGATGTCAATCAAACTGGAGATATGTTTCAGCTGCAGACCACTGGTAGACATAAGGGTGGACATGAGAGTCTATCAGTTTGACACAGTGCTTCATGGGTATACATGGATGGGAGTCATGCCACTCATATACAGGGAGTGCACAGTAAATGTAGGGCATTTAGCAGACCATTCGTTTGGGGGGAAAATCTACAGCTTTCTGAAAGATGGGCAGAGACAGATGTTGTCTCAATATTTACAGAAAGGCATTATCATTAATTGCAAAGTGTGTGTAAGGTGTGAATCCTGAACACAGACTGTAGAGCGTCCATTGTAAGGCAACCACACAAACAATAAGGCATCAACACTGACTGCAAGGCATTAATAATTGTTGTAAGGCTTCTCAAATAACTTTAATTGATGAATATTGATTGTTGGAAATCAACAATGATTGTAAGGCTTCAACTCTGTAAGGCATGAATATATACTGCAAAGCTTCAACAAAAATTGTAAGGCATGAACATTGACTGCAAAGCTTCAACGCAAACTGTAAGGCATATTCGTTGACTGCAAAATTAAATGCAAACTGTAAGACATGAACACTGACTGCAAATTTTCAACAGAAAATGTAAGGCATCATTGAACATTGAATGCAAAGCTTCAATGCAAACTGTAAGGCATGTACATTGACTGCAAAGCTTCAATGCAAACTGTAAGACATGTACATTGACTGCAAAGCTTCAACGCAAACTGTAAGGCATGTTCATTGACTGCAAAGCTTCAATGCAAACTGTAAGGCATGTACATTGACTGCAAAGCTTCAATGCAAACTGTAAGGCATGTACATTGACTGCAAAGCTTCAACGCCAACTGTAAGGCATGTACATTGACTGCAAAGCTTCAACGCCAACTGTAAGGCATGAACATTGACTGCAAAGCTTCAACGCAAACTGTAAGGCATCAGTACAAACTGAGGCATGAACATTGACTGTAAGGCATCAACTAGACTATAGACTCTGAATATATATACATGTAATTGTGATAGTAACAAATAATCCCATTTAGATTGAAAAGGGGCCCGAGTGAGATGGGACACTCAGAGCCCGAGGAAATCTAGTCTTGCTTCATTTAGTGCTTTAGCATTGCAGGTAAGGCAAGGCAGTAAGGAAAATAATGAGGTTCAGGGACTGTGAAACAGATTATGCATCAACACAAACTATGAGAAATCAGCCGTGACTATATGTCCAGGGATGAAATAGTGGCATGAATTCCATCCATATGTCCCCATGTAGTTCATTCCTTCATGATATGCTGACTCTTGTTTCTCTTTTACTTACAAATCCTTTATCTTGTTATGCTGTTGTTGTGTAGGAATTGCAATCTTTGTTATTCTGTTAAGCATTACACTTACTGGCTGTTCTTACCATTCAGTTTGATCAATATTTGTCAAATAAAAAAACATTGATTGTGCTCTGTTTCATATTTTTCTCATTTTACTAACACAATATTATATAGCATGTTCCTTTTAAATTATTTACTACCCAGTAACATAGATTAAGGATATTAGAAGATGTGGTCATAATTTGAGAAACACAAAGTGTGTTTGAAAATGATGACAAAAGCCATTATGTTTATTGCATAAATGATATTACAATGTAAGGTTTGCTTAAAACTATCAAAGATGTCACTAGAAAAAGAACTCCCTTGGTATTTTTTTTTTCTACAGTTTGTCTGTAGCTGCTGTTTTAATGATATAGTACAGCTGGTAGAACAGTTCTCAATGTGAAAGTTTCCCCTGATAATATCTGAACTCCGCCTTAGTTTGTATTTATTTTAACCGGCTGGCCACAATAACAAGCTTATCATGTGCTCATCTGGGCTGGTGGGGGCCAAATGGGAGGAGGCACGGCAGGGAGGGGAGATTTGGGCGGTAGAGGGGAAAAAACATCCGACACAAGATCAGTCTGAATGGCATGCACAAACAAAACAATTTTTTTAATCATGCCATTTATATTTTTACCATTTAAATGTACTCACATATAGATGAAATTGTTTTTATGGCACTTGGCATCCTGGGGTGTATTAAATTATGACATGGTGTCAGCTGACATTTCTGTAGTGTTTCGTTGCAAGATTATATCCTCACACTCCCAGTTGTAGTGTGTTGTCCACCCTCTGTCCATCTGCCCGCTAACTTGCAGTTCTCTACCAACTAGGCTGAATCTGAAATGGAAACTCCTGAACACTGCTTAGATTTGTTGTTGGTATTATGTAGTGTGTTGTTTGTCTGTTATTTTATGCCACACTCAGCAATATCACAGCAATATGGCAGCATTCTGTACACAATCAAGTATGGACCAATCATTCCAGTTCCCAACATCATAGTGTAGTAAGTTGGGGGGGGTTTAAATGAAGAACAAATAAAATTCAGAAAGATTCTTCAGAATCTTATATGAAAGCAACAACAGATCTAAAATGTTGTTTCGGAATTGTTTATGCCATGAACTTTTCAGCAGCAACAAGGCTCAGTAGCTGACCTAATTTTTCTGTAATACTAGCAACACTTGACTTTGAAGATAGTAAAAAGAAATGTGTAAATGAGTATGATTTTATTCCAGTAATGTAGGGAACAATGTAGGGAACTAAAATGGGCTCCACCAGGAATGAGATAGCAAGTGTTTGCAAAAAGGTATACATATCCACCAGTAGTGCACAAGACACATGCAGGGGCGTGTAAATTGCTCACCAAAAACATGAGAAGGTATACTACAAGTAAAAGTAGGGAATTTATCACACATTGTTTAGGTCACCAATGTATAAACTTTGGAAGTGTCCACTATGACTTCATTAAAACTTTATTAAAACAATAAGGCCTTGAAAGCTGTAACCCTGGTCACACAACTTTACAGGAAGAGTTGTATAAAGTCCTTGACATTTTCAGAACCACCATAACATACAATGATTTGGAATTAACATACAAATAACAAGCTTTATAAATGAAAGGTTGTTTTGAATACTGAATATCTAGTACTTATTAGATTTAATAAAGATGCTTTATAAAAAGAGTGTGATTTTATAGACCGAAATTGCACTGGAACATTTTATAGACACCTTTTCTGGAATGGTGAACACAAAATATCTGCTTTTTAGACCTTCTATTTTCATAAATGAGAATATGTATTAGTGTAGACATTGCACAGTAGTTAGCAAACCTGAATCTGAATATTTATGATACTGTTAAAATTTAGACATATTTAGATATTAGATATATTTCTTAGAAACTAAATGTCAAAGAGGGATGAACTTAAAAGCTTTTTTCATTTAAAAGAAAATGATTTTTTGTCTGAAGATAACCGTGATTGAGCTGAAGCATTGTGTAAATGATAATCATTGTTTAGATCTCAGACACCGCTATTCTTAGGAACTTAGAAATACTTAGGAACATTTTTAACATATTAAAAATTAAATTAAAAATAATAGTTTGAGATCATCATGTCATGTTAAACAGACCACATTCCAGAGACAGTTCAAACAAAGTAGATCTTTCTTTGCAGGTTGATGTTGTAGTGTTTATCCAAAACAGTAACTGGAAGTGGAGGCTACCTCTGTAGTTCAGATCCTGTAAGAACTGTGGAGCTTCCCAGAATATACTTCTTACTAAGATGTATGGTTGTCCTGGAGGAGCAACAATGCCTCTGTAAAGTATGAATGCATCTCATATAACTGTAATATATGTATCCTATACTTGTGTCAGCTCTGATTTAGTTGGATGTCCGAGAAACCCAAAGTATGATAACAACTGACAGCAAGTGTTCTGTGTAAGTTGTCTTCATCTGCTGAAGATGGTGAATGAAAATATAAATCATCCTTGGCATTGGGATACCGAACGAAGGATCTACCTTTCTAGGGGGCAGTATATATGTTAAATTCAGTCCCAACGGAATACGTTCTTCTAGGCAGATCCCATTTATTTTTCAGGCTCTGAAGAATGCTTCTAGACTCAAACACGAAGAGAGATAGTTGAAGACTGGAACTTCGGATTCATATCCTGGCTAACTGAATGTACAACTGAATCCAGTTTGTTGTTGAAATTCTCTTTGGAAGCACTTGGTTCCCTTAACATCTAATTAAAACAATGCCAAGCACAAAATGTCTCAAAAGACCCAGAAAGGTTCATCTTGCGACTATGGATGAAGCCAGGGTTCACTACTTCACCTGAGCCCAAACAGTGGAATCATCTGACATGGCCACCACTGAGGAAGGCAAGGATTGTTCCATCAGCTGGAAAGGGCCTTCCATGTTCTTGGATGCCAAGGGTCCCATCTATGTCTTCCAACAGGTCTGACAATAAACATAACATTCAATTCTGAACCTTTGCAAATATGGGATTGAATTAACACTAAGAGACTTGGGAAACTGAGAAAAGGTGGGCTCTTCTATAGGTAAACTAATCTACAATTGCTGTGACTACAATCCATGCGAGACATTGAACTCCCTTCAGCACTTCATTCTCCTGTTTGGGTTCCTTCAAACTTCTGTGTTCCCAAATATGGAGAAAGCATGAACCCATTTCCACTTAGATGATGACATGGAGAGCCTTATGGACAGCTTACCAGGAACAAACA